TTTATATATTATATATTTTATAATTTATTCGTATGTACCTATGCAATTTCTAGGCCCGTTACTAAAAGGCATATAATAATATGATGACTGACAATCAGAGTTTTCCAGTCTTTCTGGAAGAAATCTATCCGGGTCAAACACTAATGGATTTGGCCAATACCTTTTATTCCGGTGCACCTTTCCTAATGCTACAACAACATCAGCACCTTTCGGTAAAATAATCTTTCCTAAAACATTACAATGCGTTATTACAATGTAATGGTCCAAAGCCCAAATTAATCTGTATTTAATTTTACAAGCATGTACAAGAAAAGTGATAACATTTTTGTATCTATAAAATACTCGAGAGCACAATATCTATTAAATATGTAATTAAAATTAAAATATTGGAATTAAGATATTGCACTACTGATATCCTTTCGATTTGCTTGGGACAAATTAAATTAGGAGAAAATATCGTTCTATTTATCAAATGCGTCTATTATCGGATGCTTTTCCTATTTTCATTTTTCTTGGTAATTACGAGGAAAGCGCTACTTTTAATAAATAATGCGCATATATATGGTATTTATTTATAAGCAAACCCATTTTTATATCTTCAGTCAATTGTCGTGCGATTACAGGCACTATAGGGAATAACCGCAACGTTTCCTTAATAACGCGATCCAAATAGTCCATGTGTTGTAGATCCTCGTATTTAACTGGTACGGATCTAGGAGTTTCCATGCCGTAAATCTCCAACAATTCCTTATATGCTTTTTCCTTTTATGAAAATAAAAGCTTATAAATGTATGCATACAATATATAGGTATATCCCAGACCAAGAAACAAGACATTTAATTATTTATATCTCTATTTCTGAAGAGATAAGAGAAGAAAATATTTGAAGCATAATTTTTTTGAATGGCATTTTGAAAGGCGAAATGAATAAACTATCACATGGTGCAAGGAAAATTTTCTTTCCAAGAATATTTTTCTATGCAAAAAGACGATTTGGACTATATATTTACGAATATTCAAAAAAAAATTAAGAAAGAATTTTAAAAAATTTCTTTATAATGTTTTTTTCTGATTAAAGGAGATAAAAGTAAGAGATTTAAAATTGTTATCAAAATTATTATATACTTTTATATCGACTTTTATAGCGATGTCATTATAATATTTATATTAAAATTACATCACTTTTGTTATATTTTAATATAAAAAATATTTAAAAATATAAATTTTATGTATGTGTATGTAAACGTATATGTATATAAGAGTATAATTTGGCCTTGTAATAGTGTTTAAAAAAGTAACAATTA